GGCACTAAGCAACTCAATAAGTCAATAAGACCCCRTCTCTAAGTAACTACAAAATAGGGCTGGGGATGTGGCTCAGTGTCCCTGAGTTCAATCCCCACTACCCGCCTCCTCCCCTGCTCAAAATAAATAAATAAAATAAATGGGATGCACTAGTACCTTTTTGGCTCTATTCCAGTGAGAATAGGCATTGAAGTAAACAACAGTTTTATAGTTAAAAAACACTAGTTAAATAAAATATAAAGTATGTGGTATTATAATTATATTATAGATCTTTAAAAAACTTACAGTTTAAAGTTCTATGTGTATGGGATTTTAATGGGAATTTTAATGAGTCTATTCTAGATCACAGTATATATGTGTTTATGTTTATAAATAGCTTTTAATTATGTGTAATTACAGAGTACATATAATATAGTTGGCAGTATAATTTCAATGCAACTATCATCGAAGTTGTATCACATGCATTTATCTTATTAGATATTCAGCTATTAGGGGCTGGGGTTGTGGCTTAGTGGTTGCCTGGCATGTGTGAGGCGCTGGATTCTATTCTCAACACCACATATAAATAAATGAATAAAATAAAGGTCCATCAACAACTAAAAAATACATATATTTTAAAAAAAGAAAATTAGCTATTAGATTGGCAGAATATTAAAGGATTAGTTAATTTGAATATGACAATCAAATACAATTTTTGCATTTGTACTCTTTTATTATTTATTTAAGGGAATACATGGCATATTTACTTTTGTGTGTTTTTTACTATGATAAAATATGTAATACCATCTTTTAGTATACAACTTAGTGGCATTATGTACATTCACAACATTGTGTAACCATTACTATTGTCTGTTTTCAGATGTTTTTTGTTATCCTAAGCAGAAATTCTGTACCCATTAAATAGTTTAACTTTCCATTTCCCCCCAACCCCCACTCAAAATGTCTCTATAAACTTGCCTTTTCTTGACACCACATACAAGTGAATTCATAAAATACTTGTCTTTTTGTGACTGACTTATTATTACTAAGTATAACATTTTCAGAATTCACTCATAGCATGTATCATAATCTGATTCCTTTTATGGCTTAATAATCCATTGTATTGGTATACCTTGTTTTGTTTATCCATTTGTTGAATTATTCCCACCTTTTGGCTATTGTGAATGCTGCTRTGAACATCAGTGTGTAAATATCAGTTCAGATCCTTGCTTTCAGTTCTTTGGGTATATAACTAGAAGTTGAATTACTGAACATATTCTAGTTCTGTGTTTAACTTTTTGATTAACTGCCAAATTAGTTTCCACAGTGGCAGTACTACTTTACATTCTTTTTTTTTTAACAGTCCTAAACATAAAACCATGTATATAGCATTATATAATTGATGAGGAATTTTCAAGCCTAGTTTTGTGTGCAGTTTTAATTTTGTGCAGTTGCTATTTGGTATCTGAGATTTTTGGTGATGCAGTTCAGAGTTTGTCTATGTTGTTATCATAAGTTACTTATGATACAGAGAAGAACAACTCAAGTAAAATTTTGCTGTGGAATTTAATTTTTGGGAAAGCAATGTCATTTTATTTGGGGGGGCATTTTCATTTCACACCTAAGTATGTGACTTCTGTCTTGGAAAGGGCATGGATTTTGAAATTGGCAGTCTTTATTTTTGAACTCTAAACTTTAGCCTCAGTTATGTGTTTTCTAAAGGGTTTATATTCTTTTCAACTCATTGTGAGGATTAAATTTTAAGAAAATAAATAGTTTTTCTATAGAATTAATTACTGAATTAAAAACTGATCACTTCTATCCTAAGCACCCCTGTATCAATCCAGGAAGTCATTAGCTTTACTTGCCTTTTTCACAAATAAAATGAATACCTTTGTATCTTGTTTCAACTTACTATGTTTTACATTTATTTATTTTTTTTAATATAAGTAGACTCACTTACGAATAAAATTATTCTTCCCTATGAAAATTTGAGCCAGAGTATTAGGAGGGGAGAGAGTTTTTTTCAAATATTATTTTAAAAACTTAATTCAGAGAGATTACATTTGGAACTTTCTTTATACTTGAAATTCCCCAAAAGTTCATGTCTCTTCACATTTTTGAGAAATTAAGTTCTAGAACTTCTGAGTGTCTTATCCAAGATCATAGCTACTTAGTGGATGATATGAAGTGAAGTCTTTTTCTTTAAATTTCAGTGTTCTTCTGTATCAGACTGATTAACCTGCTGTATGGCATCTCTCCATRGTGCTAGAAGTGTGAAGATGTACCTGCTTTTGTATTAGGTGTACTTCTTAACTTCTTTGTCCCTTTTCTTCCATCTAAATGGAAAGATGCATAGTCTTGTAAACTTTTTTAAAATTAAAAAGCAAATCTAATGAAACAGACATTATTATTACTGTGTGTATATATGTGACTGCATGACCAATATGATTCTGCAACCTGTACACTCAGAAAAATGAGGAATAATATACCATCTGATTCAAATGTATGGTATGTCAAGGTCATTGTACTGTCCTGTGTAACTAATTAAAACAAATAAAAAATACAAAAAAGCAAATTAATATTAAAAAGCAAAAACTTCAATGTGTCATCTTTCATTTATAGTAATATACTTTCTAGAAAGATTTGCAGGTCATAAAAACCAGTATATTATTTCCTTCCCATCCATAGATTCTTTCACTAAAACTCAAATAAGCTGTAGTTAAGCAAAAGCTGGCTTATCGTCTAAGGTATTAAAAGTACAATCTGCACTCCTTTATTAGTTTAGTTTGGTTTCCTGTTGATAGAACCTGTATTTAAGCCTGTGTTTTCTAGAGGTATAGTTTTTGAATGGCCAGATTGGAAGATCCATTAGAAAATAACTGAATACTGCTACTTTTATATATGAAGGTATCTGATAGTGGCAAATCCAGGTCTGTAGCTCAGGAGTGCTATATTGTTTACCAATACATATTCAGTGTATTTCTTTCTTTGTTGTTGTTGTTGTGCCGGGGATTGAACCCACAGCCTTGTGCATGTGAGGCAAGCACTCTACCAATTGAGCTACCCAGCCCTCAGTGTACTTTTTTTTAGGCACTTTAATTTTGAAGTAATTACAGAGTCACAGAAAGATACCATTTCTTTTTTTTTTGGCGGGGGGGGGGGGCGGTAATTACTAACAAAAGTCAAAAGTTTCTTGAGGGAAATGAAAACAATTTCTCTTTTTAAAGTTTGGCCATTTGATGTATGAAAATAATTTTTTTCAGCAATTCAGATAATACCAATTTTTCTAACAAAATATTAGTCATTTATAGTTTGTTTTGTAATTTGACAACATCTCAATGTTCAAACTTTTTTTTGGTGAAGGAAATATCTGTATCTATACTTCTGTCTTTCTCTATATGGCTTAATAAATCTATATAGAAGTAAATATAGGGCTGGGATTGTGGCTCAGTGGTAGAGCGCTTGCTTAGCAYGGGCAGGATTCGGGTTCGATTCTCAGCACCACATAATAATAAAGGCATTGTTGGGGCTGGAAATGTGGTTCAAGCGGTAGTGTGCTCGCCTGGTATGTGCATGGCGATGGGTTCGGTCCTTAGCACCACATACAAATAAAGATGTTGTGTCCGCCGAAAACTAAAAAATAAATATTAAAAAATTCCCTCCCTCCCTCTCTCTCTCTCTCTCTCTCAAAAATAAAATAAAATAAAGGCATTGTGTTGTGTCCATCTACAAAAAAGATTGATTTATTCTCTCTCCCTCTCAAAAAAGTAAATGTATATAAATGTTAGTTTATATGTATATATAATGCTCCTGTTTTTAAATGCTTAACTTTATAATAAGACATATTTCTGAGTTAACACATATTTACCTTATGGCTTATCTTAACTTAATGATTTCCCCGTTAATGGATGGTGTGTTGTTTGTAGTTTTCTATATTATGAACAGTGCTAAAGAACATAGCAACTGCTTGATGCATGTGTGTGTTTATGTAGAAATCTTCTTAGTTGATATAAGGGAGTGGATTGTGAGGCAAAGGCTTCCTGAAAGGAATCCAGGCAGCCTCACTTAATAGCTGTGTAACTTAAGGCAAGGTAATAGATTCCATTTCCTCCATCAAAGAGGGACTAGATTAGTGATAATCTCTACTTTTGAAGTGGAGGTACGAACTTCTTTGACAGACTAATAGGAAAAATAAAAGCTATTTTTTGGTTGATTAAATAAAGAAGTTGATCATCTTTTCATCATTATTTCATAATCAAAATCACTCATAATCAAAATCACTTGTAATTCTCCTGTGAGGATGTTTAGCTCTAGCCTAGCTTTTCTGTGGCAAGAGCTTGATATTAATGTGTAACACTAGAYGATTAAAGTTTTATCTTTTTCAATTGGTTTCATGTAAATTGTGACATATTTTTAGCATGTTATAATACTTCTTTAGGTAATATGGCAATTTTACTAGCTTTTAGGTCAGAGATAAGATATTTTTTAGTGTTTTTAAAGCTTAAGATGTTTCTTTATCTTATTTTCATAAAATGGTTAGTAAAATAAATAGTGCTGTAAGTTATTATTAAATGTTTTATCTAGAAAAAAGGAAGTTCTTTTATATTTCTGTTGAAATAAAAAAATTATTGCCAGGCCTTTTGTATTGCTATGAAAATTTTTCAGAAATCTAAGATTAGAGCAGAAGTTAATATTCTCTTCCTCATCCATCCCACTCCACACACCCCATCCCACCCACCACCCCCTTCTATCAGGGAGTATCAGGAATTGAACCTAAGGRTGCTTCACAAGTGAGCCACATTTCTGGCCCTTTGTATTTTTTATTTTGAGACAGGGTCTTGCTACGTTGCCCAGACTGGCCTGGAATTTGCTGTCCTCCTTTGTCTCCTTCTCTAGTTGCTGGGATTATAGGCATGCCACACATGGCTTTTTCTAAATTTTTTGATGATGTCATTTTTTATTATTGGGTATGCTGTTTTCTCCAATAGTAAACATTATCTTTTATGTTTCTTATGCAGGTCTTCAAAGTTCTACATTTTAGCTCTCAGTACTGAACTTCCTTCTCCCTTAAATTATTATAAACTTTTGCTGCTGTTTAATAAACGTGAAGATGTCTCGAAGTCCTGATGCTAAGGAAGACCCTGTGGAATGCCCTCTTTGCATGGAGCCCTTGGAGATAGATGATATCAACTTTTTCCCTTGTACCTGTGGCTACCAGATTTGTCGATTTTGTTGGCATCGAATTCGCACTGATGAAAATGGACTTTGTCCTGCATGTAGAAAGGTAAATACTTMAAAATAACCTTATAGTTATTTAACTGTATAGTTTTTTAAATTTTTAACTTTACAGTTCTAACTGTATAGTTCTTTTCCCTCATGAATATGAGTAATTGGTTATAAACGGTCTACAAACCTCAGGTGTGATTATATGTAGCATTATATCTTTAAGATTAAATAGTGAGGGCTGGGGTTGTGGCTTAGTGGTAGAGTGCTTGCCTAGCATGTGTAAGGCCATGGGTTCTATTCTTGGCATTGCATACAAATAAATTGTCCATTGACAACTAAAAAAATATTAAAAAAATAAAATAAAGGGCAAAATGAGGTGGAAAGAACATTGCCCTGGGAGTCAGACTCAAGTCAAGGCCTTGTTGTTAACTAGCTATGTGACCTTTGTGAAGTTAAATAACCTTTCTGGTTGAGGAAATGGACAGTCGATGGGGCTTGCTGTTAAGAGATTAGGAATAAAGAAATGAATTTGGGTAGGGTGATATGAAACTGGAAAAACATGCTCTGTATTTTTTTGGGGAGTTCATTTAAATTTTCTAGTACAAAATAGGTGAGAAGTTAAGATTTTTACTGAAAGAAGTTAATAATGGCAGAGAAATTATGGTTCAGAAGTTTATAACTGCTTATTTGTTGAACCCTTGCTATAATTCTAGGCTGATATTACCATTCGCGTTTTACACTTGTCCCAGAGTCACCAACTTCTGAGTAGTAAATTTGGAATTTGGATATACTTTTGAGTATAAAGTCTCATTTTTTTTTTCCTGAAATACTGTGTTATTGAAAGCCCCTTCTAACTCTAAGAATGTGTGAGTTTTGATGTTCTGTGGATTTTGTTATTTTGAATAACAACTACAACACAGCTACAGTGTAATAAATAAACTATTAGGGTAGGTAGGACTGCTACATTTCCATTTAAAGGACTTTATTTGTGACCTTAGGGATTAAGATGTCTGTTATGTTATTATGAAATTTGTCTTCACTTTCATATTATACAATTCAAACTTTGTTTTTTTTAATTGCTTTTATTTTTTAAATACATGACAATGGAATGTATCACAATCTTATTCATATCTCTGTATATAAAGTATGTTCACACCAATTCATGTCTTCATACATGTACTCTGGATAATGATATCCATCACATTCCACCATCATTGCTAACCCCCTGCCCCCTCCCTTCCCCTCTCACCCCTCTGCCCTATCTAGAGTTCGTCTATTCCTCCCATGCTCGCTCTGCCTACCCCATTTATTTTCTAATTAACTGTTTCAGAGAACTTCTGTGTTCATTACTCCAAATTTTGAAAAAATCAAAACATGCTTTTCATATCTAGAATTTAGAAAATAAACTACTTCTAACCTTTTTACCTGARGATTTATAAGAAATTTCAGAAACTGATGCATAATTCACTTCTGTTTATTTTTAAAAATCAAATGGGCACATATTTTATGTCACATAAATAAAAAATCTATTTAAATGTTAATATAGTTCATATATTTGTATATTACATATATTGTACATATTACATAAYATGTAATATATCTATAGCATGTATTTATATAGAAATGTGAATAGAAAGGTAAGTGAAAACTTTAGCATTGCTTTAGTCAAAAAATATATACATTTTTATGAATTTTAAGTATTTAGTCATATTTTTAAAATCAGCCATTCAAAAGTCATATTGAACTCTTTCAAGGTGACTTTTAGGATCACTCAAGATTCTAAGAAGTGTGAATTTGATTGACTTCACAAAGTCATTATTTCTTAGTAGATTGGGAGAAGCTCATCAGTGGGACATGAGCTGAATGTGTCTTGTCAGAGACTAGTAAGTCTTTAGTCTCTGGAGACCAGCCACACTGGCTGTGTTTACACAGAGGGTTATCACAAATGTTACTAGATGTCTGAAGAGGGCAGGGAAGCTGCAGTTTACATGTAATCCAGTTCTGTAGGAAGAGGGCCTACAGAGGCCACTCTGTAAGGTAGCTTGTCAAGATAGTGTGAGTAAACTTGGAGTTGCAAGTGGGGAGATGGTTGAAGCAAGCTCTGGTTTTGGCTCACAAGAGGAAACGTGCCCTTCTGCAGGAAGGTTTAAGAGCTTTGAAAAACAAAAACCAAGAAAGTTTAGTGTTGCTCTTTGTCCTAGTTGCTAAACAGATTATTTGGTCAATTTTATTTATTTATTTATTTATTATTTTTTTAGTTATAGTTGGACACAGTACCTTTATTTTATTCCTATATTTTTATGTGGTGCTGAGGCTCGAACCCAGGGTCTTGCACGTGAGAGGCGGGTGCTCTACCGCTGARCCACAACCCCAGCCCAACTTGGTCATTTTTAGTATGTCCTTTTATCTCCCCCCTCCACCCCCAAGCTTTTTTTCTTTTTTTCCTCATGGTGCTGGGGATCAAACCCAGGTTCTTGTGCATGCTAAGCACATACTCTACCACTGAGTTATATCCACAGCCTTAACTGCCTTTGTGTGTCCACTTAGTGCAGCATTTCTAAGAAAAATACCTGGTGGGAAACAGGAGATGTGGGGGAACATAGGTGGTGCATTGACATAGTATCATGTAATATTCACTCACATGAAAACCAGAGACTAAATAAGGAAGTGTGAACTTCAACAGAAATGTTACTGTTTTCATCTGAGAAATAATAGAAGATATTGTGTCCATGAAACAAGAACAAGACAGTATAAAAAAGAACATTCAATGAACAATAACCATAGTTATTGTTTTTAGTAGAATATTTTTTTAAATTTAATATTTTTAGTTGATAGACCTTTATTATCTATCTATCTATCTATCTATCTATCTATCTATCTATCTGCCCTGCTGAGAATCGAACCCAGTACCTCACACATGCTAGGCAAGCACTCTACCACTGAGCTACAACTCTAGCCCCAATAACTATAGTTATTAAAAATTAAAATACAGTAGCAGAAATAACTTAATGAAAGTGTTGGAAGATGAGATGAGGTGGAGAAGATCTTTGAGAAAGCATTAAAAAAAAGATATGGAATATTTGAGAAAAATTAAGCGTATTTGAGGAGCAATCAAAGAGGTCAAATACCAAATATTAAGTACTCTGAAAGAGAATATAGAGATACAGGGGGAAAATAATTATCAAATATATGATGGAAGAGTATTTCCTAGAACCAAAATTCATGTTTCCTGATGAATAGGCCTTTCAAGTACCTAGCATTAACTTTTATTTTGAAATATCAGAATACTGAAGATAACAGAAGTTCTATGAATTTGCAGAGCAGAAAAACACATGAAAGACCAAGAATCAGAATTGTTTCAGATTCTGATCTTTGTTATCCATCTGTAAAATAAAAATTATGGTCTTCTGTAATGTTGATTTAAGAGATCAAAATGAAAATTATAAGGGMTGAGGATGTGGCTCAAGCAGTAACGCGCTCGTCTGGCATGCGAGGGGCGCTGGGTTCGATCCTCAGTGCCACATAAAAATAAAATGAAGATGTTGTGTCTGCCAAAAACTGAAAAATAAATATTAAAAAATTCTCTCTCTCAAAAAAATGAAAATTATAAATTATTTTGAATCAGTAATTGTAAAGTGACTTATCATAATATCTAGAGTGAGGCCTAAATGGTATGTAAAGGAAAAGTTAAAGATGTAAATGTATTAGAAAACAGAAGAAAAATTAGCAAACAGAAGAAAAATTAGCAAACTTATTTTAAGCTTTTGAAATCAGAAAAGAAAAAAAAAAAGCTCTGGTATGGTGGAAGGCAGGGGAGTAAGCAGAATTTAGTGAAATAGGAAGAAAAAGTTCAGTAAAAGAGCTGATTCTCTAAAAAGGCCAAAACAATCAAATTCTTGGAAAGTCTGATAAAAGTAAACATCACAAGTAAACAGCATTTGGAATCAAAACAAGAACATAACACATGGGGAAGAAATTAAATGATTACAGTAGACCCAGGTTAATTAATAATTTGATATGTGATTCATCTTTGTGCTTTTTTTGGTACTTGTTGTATAAGTTTTATACTAGTGTGTACACAGCTCCAAATACCTTCAAGAGATTAAAATCATCCAGTCAGGTAGATAAGATTGGAAGGAGATAATACATGTACAGAAAAGTGAGTAGAGACAAGAAAGTTTTGAGAGGCAGAGTTGAGAAAAAACTCAAATGAGGAAGACTATGTGGTTGATTGAGGAATTGAACTTTCTTTAATAGATCTTAGCCATTTGGGCCCTGGAATTAAAATGCAAAAAATAATTTAATTTTCATCTGAAAAACATACTTTTTAAAGAAAATGTTGCTAAATTTCCAATTTTAGTTAGTAATTTAGTGTTTATTTGGCAAATACTTACTGAACTTTTAAAAAGAGCCATACTCTGTTATTTTATATTTGATCCTGGAATCCTAAGGATCATGCAAAAGTTAGGTCAYTGAGCCAGATGTTTTGTTGCCCCCTACTCACAAGTTGGAACATGCCAAATAGGACCAATTAACTAAGAGGTTCAGATTTTGTGATGTTTTAATCAAATGGCATGGGTGCCAACATCGTTTTTAGGTGACTAGGTATGTAGTTTTTTGATGATATGATAAGCTATGAAGAGTATACAATTTTCTTTAAAAGCAGCAGGTTAAATTTGAAAGTAGGCATAAAAGGGAAAGAATCAGGTTGTTGGAGAACTTAAGATAATAACTAGTAGAAGTTGAGGAACATAAAAGGAAATCTCACTTTGTAAATTGCTGTCATCACTGTTCTGGATATGTTCACAAGTTTGAGGGGTTTTGTTTGTTATTTACTTACATATGAAGAAATGAAAATAATTTCATATTAAAGGCATTAGTAAGGATTTAGGTTTCTGGATAGTCTCTTCATTATTCTCTGTTCCTACTTTTTTTCTTATTGGCATAATTTTTGTTGTCCTCCACTTCCATATTCTGATAGGCACAGTTTTCCAGCCAATTCTGGTTCTTATTCCTTGCAATCTCTTCATATCCAGTTTTTAATATTATTGCATTTAATGTTCATCTTCCATTTATCATTAGCAATATTTATTAGTGATAATAAATGACTTTGGTTATGGGCAGGACATGATTTTAATCACTTTATAAGTGTATTCTCTGCTAACTCTTACAAAAACTCTCTGGCTAAAGTACTGTAATTTCTGTTTTACAGATGAGGAGACTGAGGCAGAGAGGTCACATGATCTCAGGGTGGGCTAGGATTCAAAGCCAGGCACTCAGACTCCACAGCTCTTATTTGGACTCCTGTAGCCCTGACATTAGCAGCAGGAATGAAAATAATGCCATAATTTTGAGAAGCAAAAGATGAAGACACAAAACAGTGAAATTCCTAGCTTATTGAGGGATTTATTATGTGCCAGGCACAGTAAGAATAGCTTTTTTAGTGTTACTTTATCTTTACATCAACCTTTAAGATTATTTTCATTTTACATATGAGGATACTGAGACATAGAGTCTAACTTGCCCATTACTACCTGACTGCTGTTAAAACTAAATTCAGACTCCTGAGTCCAGTATCTAGATATTACTATTTGCTATTTCTCTCACTATCAGACTGAGGATGTATTAAAGAAAAAAGCATATAACTTTATTAATCTTTTAGCATGTGGTAGATTTTATTATGTATTTGTTGATTATAATATGTAAATCCCATATTTAGATAAAAGAATGTATATTCTTTGCCTCTTATGCATTACCTTAGAAGCTTCTTGTAAACTGCGTGCCGTGCACTGTGGCTAATACCAAGACTGGGTGTTAGTGGTATTGGTGGTCACTTAGAACCTTTGATATTTTAATGCTAAAAGTGGTCTGTGCTAAGTTCCAAAATGAAGTATCTTAATAGCTATTTTATTTGATATTTAACTTATTAAATAAAAACAATTTAATCTATTAAAAAAAAAGGAAATTAGAACAACCTTATACCCGCCATCCAGAATTGGACACTTGTTATTTATTCAGTTTTTTATTTATTTAATGCTAATGTCTGTGTTTGTTTTATGCTTAAAGCCATATCCAGAAGATCCAGCAGTTTACAAACCCCTCTCCCAGGAAGAATTACAAAGGATAAAGAATGAGAAAAAACAGAAACAAAATGAGAGAAAACAGAAAATATCAGAAAATCGCAAACATTTGGCTAGTGTACGTGTTGTACAAAAAAACCTCGTCTTTGTTGTAGGTCTGTCCCAGCGCCTAGCTGACCCAGAGGTGAGTGCTCTTCCCGTTTTCTTTGTCAACTTGACATTTTTCTTGTGTGTTTGCTGTTTTGGAAATGATAGTTGACCCTATTTACCTGTAGGATCCCTCTGAATATATGAAACCTTGGAGAACATAAGAAATGACATTTTAATAATAGCTAAGGAACCAGTGACCATTTATGATCTTAGGCAAATGTTTCATCTCTTTCTTGGCCTCAGTTTCTTTGGTTGTAAAATTAAGGAGGTGAACTAGATTTCTGAAGTTCCCTTTACTCTGCAAATGAATAATGGTAATAGTAACATGTGACATRAATACTCTGATTCTTTCCTCTTTTCTGTAGCTGTGTTAAGGACCAACAATGGAGATGCAGTTATTTGAACCGACTAGAGATCATAATGACCTTTTTTTTTTWAATTCTACCTAAATAGTAATTTTTAGTTTTATTTATAACTGCTACAGTACTATGTCACTCTCCTTTATTTATTCATTATAATATAATTTTAGGAAAAGGAGGATAATTTGATTAAGTGAAATAAAGAACCAAGTTATTTGTTACTCATTTGGGGCAGGATAAATTTTAACTTTTTTGTTTACTACCTCTTTTTCTTTCCTTCCACCACTAGCCTGATTGACGTATTATTGAGTTTATATATATTTTTTTGAGGCCCATGAATATGCATGTGCAAATTTTTAATTTCTTATATACCATGAAGGGCTGACTAGATTGTTGGGATGGCAAGTAGAAACTGACTGACAGCCAGAGTATTCAGTAGGAGAGAGTTGGATTTTGGGAATCTTCCAAAAGGACTCCTTGAAAGTGGTTGAAGTAATATTCTTTGTAGTGTCAATCAGAAGGAGAATTGTAGTAAATGTGCCTAAGGAAGAAGGAATATTTGAACTTGGCTTGAAGCCCCCAGAAAGGGAATAGATTGTAGCTCAGTGAAAGAGCTTGTACTTAGCATGTATAGGCCCTGGATTCAGTCCTCTCCTGCACAAAACAAAACAAAAACACCCCAGAAAGAGGAACTATAAGGAGCCTCATATCTGTGTGTAAAAATTAATTTAAAATAGTTATTTGTTGATAGTGAGTTTGTTATGTGTTGAGAGTATAAAGGACTTCAGAATCCATACAGGAGAAAGTCAGGGAGACATTATTAAGGAGAATCTTATGGTCAGTAAACATGGAGGCAACTCAAGAATTACTAGGACTCTAGGTCCAGTGATCCTGACAGTAGTGGGCTACATGATATGTAGAAAACTAGGTTCTTTCCAGAGCCAAAGAGGTGAGCGAACAACTCAACTGTAGTAACTATATATGTTGAAAGCTTATTTTAGAACTATGACTCAACTTTTCAGCAGCTAATTCTTCGATTTCCTAAGCTTCTATTTTCTGCTTACTCCTTAGGCAGACAAAAATCCCACCTCTCCCTTAACCATTTCCTTGAACATGGCTACAATTTTGCAGTAAACCTTCTCTCTCTTAAAACTGCCTATTTTCCTACTCGAGGGCACTTCATATTTTCTACTCCTGATCTTACTGATTAGATTCTAATTTTCTGAAACTGCTACTCTAGTAAATTAATGGAACATTTATCTTGATTTGAGAGCTCTTGGATATGAATGTACTTGTTTTTGTTACTATGTCTTGGGTCTACTCAATTCTAGTTTTGGGGACATATGGAACAGACACAAAGGTAGATGAAATTTAAGTCACAGCTCAACTCTGATATTTGGATTATAGGTTTCCAATCTCTCCAGTCTGTGATTTGTAAGAGGTTTTTATTTACTAACAGAGATTCTTTATTTTTACTTCAAATAACTTCAGATTAATCTGAAGAACTGTTACACAAAAGGAAATCAATCTAGGTGGTAACTACTTGGAGATAGCACTTTATCAGGAATCTAAATATACCTGTAAAAATCACTAGTTTTATACTTTTAAAAATCATTATTGCTAATAGTGAGATTCATTTTCTTAAAACTTTTAATTCATTTTCTTAAACATTTGTTTTTAAGACCAGAGACGGTGCTTTTTAAAAATCAAATACTACTAATTCTTTGTGTCTTTTAAAAATCTCTTTAATTTATTTGTATAACTTTATCATAAGTTTTTGGAAAACTTAAAGTTGGCTTCACTAGAAAACTCAAAGAAATTTCAAATTGTCAGAGTTACTGTCAAATCACAGGCGATCCCTGTAGCTTACATATCTTTGAGTAATTTGCTATGTCAACAAATTCTGGTTAACAAAACAGGTGAGAAATAAAGCTTATTTTGAAAATAATTTTTGCACACTGGAAAGCTTTATACTAAGATTGTAAAGTGTATTCATTTATTTATTTCTGTGGTCAATAGAAAAACGTTTTTGAAGCCATGGTAATTAGTGTCAACGATCAGATTAGAGGTAATGATGAAAAAAATTTTAAGTTTACAAATTTTAGATTTGGAGAGACTTACTTCATTAATTGTACAAATTAATTTCCTGGATATATACCATGTGCTAGGGAGCTTTGATATTGGGGATAATTTAGATAGCAAGCCCTACCAATTCTACCCTTAACAATCTTGCAGTCTAAAGGGGAGACAGAATTTAAGTGCTTATGTGTGTGTTGAACACTTATAAATAAGGAAGTATACAGCTTTTTGGGAACATGTAACATGTAACAGCAGGGTGCTAAGCTAGTATAGAGATTTACAAAAAAAACTCCTTGAAAAAAGAATGATTTATATAGGCTTAAAGACCTAATAAGCCAGTCTTAACTAGGGACAGTAGCATCCCAGACATGTGTGGTAGCCCCAGAGAGCATTTTGTTTGAGGAATTAAAAGATTGTTTAGACACAGCCATTTTATCTTAAAAATGAGAAACTGAAGCTAAGAAAGGTTGAGTGATTTGCCTGTGGTCACAGAGCTCCTATTCTAGCGTATTCTGTACTGATGATTGGTCTATTATTATCCATTTATTCATTTATCCACCCAGCCATCCATGAAATTTTTGTTTTTCTCTGTAGTGTCTGTGAACACTTAACTATGTTTCCAAAGAACATTATAGCAAGACAATTTAGTCATTAGGCATGCTATTGGGCATTTATAATTTTGTCACATAATTATATTTTAATTATATTGTATGTTCTGTGTTAATGTTAAAAGAGACCCACTGTGAAGTAAATGTATGATATTGAATACCTAAATAATGAGCTGATAAACAGCATGCTCTGTCTACTTCCCATATCCTTTCTTTATTCAGTAGAACACTATTTTGCTGGTTGTTTAGGCAGAATATGGAGTGTTCAAATTAATATAAAAAGTTTAAATTCTTGGAATTTCCCTTGCCTGGGCAGCCTATTCCATATTAATATATTGCTGTCACTTGGAGGTTCACCAGTGCTGTATTCCATATAGTTGTTTGTTCACTGCTAACACCAATTTTTCAGTAAACATGTCAGTAAGTAATATGCCAGGCACTATGTAAAATATGATAAACAAGATAGTACCTGCTTTTTTACAAAAATAACAGTATGGCATGAGAAGTACTGTGTGCTATGGAGGCACAAGGGATAGCACCTGATCTCGCAGGGGAGGTCTATCCTCCTCTGCTATCTTTGGGGTAAGGTGCAACTGGCACACGAACTATACAGAGAGACTTCTATCTACAGTCTAATTTGTTTGACCGGAATACTAGAGAGGAATGGTGAGAAAAAGGGTAGGCAAGGTAAGTGGCAGTGTCATAAAGGGCTTTCTAACGATGCTTAAGGAAGGAATTTTCACTTTATCCTAAAGGCAGCAGGAAGCTGTTGAATGTTTTTAAGAACAGAGTAACATGGCTAAATATGTGCTTTGAAAATAGCATTCTGGCTGCATTGTGGACATGTCAGTGTAATTATGTACCATTCTTGTGTTGTTATGAAGGTTACCATACCCAAATGTTTGCCAGAAACTATTTCTATAAATGAGTGGTCTTCAACTTTATCAAAAAACTGATATGTATTATATCCCTTTACTTTAATAAAATGACTTCTTTTTTTTTATTGGTTGTTCAAAACATTACAAAGCTCATGATATATCATGTTTCATACATTTGACTCAAATGGGTTATGAACTTCCATTTTTACCCCAAATACAAATTGCAGAATCACATCGGTTACACACTCACATTTTTACATAWAGGCATATTAGTGACTGTTGTATTCTTCTACCTTTCCTATCCCCTACTATCCCCCCTCCCCTCCCCTCCCATCTTCCCTCTCTACCTCATCTGCTGTTGTTCAATTCTCTCCCTTGTTTCCCCTGCCCCTTTTCTCTCACAACCTCTTATATGTAATTTTGTGTAACATTGAGGGTCTCCTACCATTTCCATATGCTTTCCCTTCTCTCTCCCTTTCTCTCCCCCCACTCGTCTCTGTTTAATGTTAATCTTTTYCTCATGCTCTTCCTCCCTGTTCTGTTCTTAGTTGCTCTCTTTATATCAAAGAAGACATTTGRCATTTGGTTTTTAAGGATTGGCTAGCTTTGCTTAGCATAATCTGCTCTAATGCCATCCATTTCCCTGCAAATTCCGTGATTTTGTCATAAAATGACTTCTTGATAATATGTTTCCCCATGTCATTTGAAACAAATATGTATATAAAGGAGAAATAAAAGGAAAATAATCAGAAATTTATAGCTACACATAAGTGCTTGGGCACCACTGCTCTAGAACCTTTTTTCGAGGTATAGTCTCAGGGCCTCTAGCAGGGAGCTTACTATGAAGACACTCAGGCTCTGCATTAGATTTACTGGATCTGAATATGCACTTCAACTAGTTCCTCAAAGGACTTGTATGTGTATTTGAGCTCTTGAAGTACTATTTTTTACACTACAAAATAGAGTAGTAAGATGCTTGGCCTCCTACTTGTAGTCTCACTGAATGTGATGACCACAAATGCAGCTTGCTAAAGGTATATGCATTGGCAACTTGGGTACCGTGAAGTGCCAATAATGTGATTTTTGTGAAGCAACTCTTAGTAAAATCGCAATACAACATGTGTAGTCTTCCTTTAATAACATTATCTGTACATTTAGCGCATGTCAAAACTGGGGAAATACTTAGAGTTTGTTTCTAGAGTCCATTATAAATAGGCTTTTTAAAAAATATATTTTTAGTTGTCAGTGAACCTTTATTTTATTTGTTTATATTCAGTGTTGAGACTCAAACCCAGTACCTCATACATGCTAGGCAAGTGCTGTACCACTGAGCAACAAACCCAGCCCATAAATAGGCTTCTTAACTTCATTAATGTCTTAGAGAACATTCACACATTGTGCAGGATGGCTGTTTTGCAGGACTAGCTTAAGCCTTATAAGACACTCCTGACTTCCATCCACTGAATGTGCTTAATGTCTCCCAGTGAGCCACCCCTCAACCCTGAGACTTTATTATAAGCAACCTGAGGGTCATTATATTAGTTACTGTTTTTATCTTATCCCTAAAAGGATTTGGGTGAAAAAATATTGAAGACCTTTTAATCCATTAGAATTGGCTGTAACAAGCATAACAATTTTACTTATATGAGCACCTAAAATGAAATATGTTGAAATTAATTAGTTATATTAACTTGAAGATTGTTAAGAATTAATGACACCAGCCATAGACTGTTTACTTTAAGCTTTGATTCTATCAGATATAGAACATATTTAAATTATAAGTATGTGAGCATATTATCAAATACAACTGGAAAGAGAAGTATTCTGCACCAACTTGAACAGGTGTATGCAGAAAACTTTCAATGGGAGAGAGCTTGTTGTTTGGAGAGAGTGCAGCAACAGTAGGGCTATAGTTAATTTCTAGGGAACAACAAAATTTAATGTTGAGTTCAAATCATGGGAGAGTATTTTGTGTCAAATTCGCATACTGATCAAATTAGCCAAGGTTAAGTAAGTTTGTAAGAGAAAGTAAAAGAATGCATATGATAATTACAAAAAAAAAAAAAAAAGGAGAGGTAAGTATGAAGGGAAGTAGCCACCAAGAAGTAACCATGTAATAGAGAGGAAAAAAAAAAAAGTATAATCCCCCCCCCAATGTAATTTACCAGAAAAAGCACAGGGTGGGTGGGGGGTAGTGTGGGAAAATTTGGGAGACAATTGAAAAATTGTAAACTTGATGGACATTGAAAACTACACAGCARTAAATCATAAAGCATGGAACGTTGAGGGGACACTGTTATTGTATTTGGAATTTGTAACTTATAAACAATGTCTTAATATAAAATACATAGATGTATGAGTAAAGATTGTCTTATATCTGTCTTTTGTTTCTGTCTATGCTCTTAAGACATAATTTCAGTCACTGTATTGAGAATAATTTCTTATAAGGATCATCTGTTAATGACAGTGCAGTTAAGATAACTTGATCTGTTTTGTGTTTTAGAACCCATAGATCATCAGTGCAGATATTAGAAAAAGATAATAGATAATACCAAAGTTAGCCTCAGTTTCTATCAGTTGGTGAAAAAAAAAAAGAGTAGCTTTTTAGACTTCATTTTAGATTTTCTGTAGGTTAGCTATATAAATAACAATTAGGGAGTAATAACATTTGTTAGAAAAAAATTACCTTTTTCCTTTTAATGACAAGGTATGGTGAATGTCTCCCTATTATAAGGATAAAATTGATGAAAATGGGGACAGTTTATACCTTATTTCTTCTTCTTTTATAGGTTTTAAAACGACCAGAATATTTTGGGAAGTTTGGTAAAATACATAAAGTTGTCATCAATAATAGCACATCATATGCAGGCTCACAGGTAACTAATTATAGGGATTTTTGCCTTTCCTCCCTATGGTCTGGGCTTGACCTGGGCTGTTCAGAAGGAGAATTTACTTTCTGTTATTAGAAAGCTTGAGGGTCAAAGATGTAAGGAGTGTAGTGACCTCTGTTGGTGGGGTGGGGGATTTGGGGTGCTTATTAAGAGGGAAATAATAAAATAGAAATTTTGGTCATGGGGTAAAGGGGGAAGAGGGGGAGTTGAGTTTATTATTAGGCACTCTGATAATTAGGTAATGACTTACAATCAAATACTTTTTAAGATATTCCAATTTAATTGAGCATCTTTTTAATATTGCTATTAACAGGTAGAAGAATAATACACTTGTAGATTACATCTCTTTTTGAGAGAACATAATTTCTCTCAAACATAACATAGTATCTGTAAATATTAATTTTTAAATTTGAATTTCAGACTGTTTTGTAACCTTGACATTTTAAGAAAGTAAGTGCTAAACCAAAAATATTTTATTCATCTGTTATAGTCTACTTAAAATCAGATAAAGTTCAGGTATGATTGCTTTTAAATGAGCTAGTTTAGGATTTTTATAAAACTACTACTACTGCTACTACTACTATTAGTACTTGTCATTATTATTAACAACAGTAGTGGTAAACACCTTTAGCATTCCCTAGGCAGGTTGCTAGAKAATATTCTTTCTTTTTTTTCTTTTCTTTTTTAAAGTATCCTTAAAACAATTTGAAACTAATAACAGTGGTTTSGGATGTTTTTCCTTCAGGGTCCAAGTGCCAGTGCTTACGTAACCTATATCCGGTCAGAAGATGCTCTCAGAGCTATACAGTGTGTCAATAATGTGGTGGTAGATGGCCGAACACTTAAGGTAATATGATCCTCTTGATTTTTTTTTTTCTTTCTTTTTAAGAGCGAGGAATAAAATGTAGTAAGTAGAGAGAGCCCAACACATACATACTAAAGGTGAAGGAAGTTTATTTGAAGATTGCTTGTTAGGTACCCATAGCAATCTATGATAGCTGATTTGTTCATTGGTAACTTCCATAGGGTCCTGTTTACAAGGTAGGAATCAGCATGTTCATTATTACAGGATAATCTTTTWAAAATCTTCCATATTTTGCATTTTTTTAATTTTGTAAAAATGGAACTATTATTCTTACCAGGAATATAGTGTTCAGGTTTGTTGTCATTAAGTGCCTGAACCTTGGTTCAAATTTAAGAAAAAGATCCTACCAAGCAGTGTGATGTGTAAAGAGAAGAAGAATTAGACAAAGGAATTTGCCTTCTGTGCTTGACTACTCCTAACATGAAACAGAATTTTATCTTATCTACTCTCCTGATATCTAGGGAAGCACCTTTGGTGTTCATGTTCTAGTAGCCATAGACTGAGACGTTTTCTTTAGTTGTTCCAAATGAGCATTATCTATAATAAATCCTACTAGTAATAGTCTTTGTATTCTTGGCCATACTTATTGTTTTATCTTATCTGTGCCCATTTTAGGTGAACACTAAACATGGAAATTCTCATTGGGATGTCAGTTCACATTTTGAGTCCTCTTTCTCCCTCCCCTCTTCTTCCTGCAGGCATCTCTAGGTACAACAAAATACTGCAGTTACTTCTTAAAGAATATGCAGTGTCCAAAACCTGATTGCATGTATCTACATGAATTGGGAGATGAGGCAGCAAGCTTCACAAAAGAGGAAATGCAGGTAGTGAAGTCATATGAATTATCAACTTTGCACAAAGGGAGTACATTTTCTTTAATAAAAGTTAAAATTTTATAAGCAAAATCTAGGGAGTTGATGAAAACTGGTATTGCTTTAAAGTAGCACTTTCCAAACAAAGTGTTCTATGAAGTGTCAGTTCTGCAGATATTGTTACAATAAAAATGGGTCTATGGTCAACTACGGTTGAAAATGAGATTAATGAAGATGAACAGGTTTGTTTCAGGACCAGAGTTTTTACTATGCTAATAAAAATGGATATGTACATTTAAACAACCAGCACTCATTTGACCAAAGGAAACAGTTTGTGAAATGCTACTTTAAGGGGAATGTCAGCAAAATGAAAACCAAGTGGGAAATTGTAATTTTTGTTTTTTGGCCCAATCTCTATACAGAATAAGCTAGAAAATAATATTCTGTCTACTGATATTAATAAAGCAACATTTTTATAAATTGATTCTCCCTCCAATGTGTCCACAAAGTTGCTATCCTGTACAGGATGAATTGAAGGCTTAATATCCTATGTTCTTTTCACATTTCCTCTTCTCCTGTCTCCTTTCAATTTGTAGTATAAACATGCTTTTACAAGTAAAAATGTTGACCATACGGCCTATTAAATGAGGATTATACCAAAGCACAATGCTGCACTTCCCTATTATAGATGAGGACTTCAGATTGTTGCTGTGGACTTTTGCAGGAATACTTCTCATTTAGAAGGTGGGGGGCATTCATTGCTACCTTTCATTCTCCAGGTCACACTAGAGAAAGTCTGGTAGGGCCTCCTTTAAGAGCAGATTATTAAATAAAATGAAGTATTTACACCCTTTTTGACTTGGAGTTAATACAGATTAAATCCCATTATAATAAATACATTGGAGTTGCTCGACAGTATGGTCTTTATGATTCAAAACAGTGTGAAAGTAAGGTCCATCTGTATTTAATGGGAATGGAAGAGGGACTTACTGCTTACTTATTTGATAAATGTTTTTTGGATAAAACTTTTTATAATAAAATCTAGATAGATCCTTTTCAAACTGAATTTTAATGAGTGGAGAGCATACTTTACTCATATACTGTTATAATGGAAATTTCTATCAAAGAATTTCTAAGCACCAGGTGATCTCATTTAAAGTATAACTGAATAATAAAGCAAAATATATAGACAATTGGTTGAAATGTATTTGTAATGGGATTTAAGATGTCTATAGGAACTGCCCCCATAGAGTCATTTGAGTATCAGATTGAACACTTTGTGGCTAATGAAAGCCATAGTATCTCCTGAAATTTTCAAGGCTTCTCATGTTTTAAAGATGTAAAATCCACATCTAACTGTATTTTTTTCATAACTTAAAATTGACTTCATAGTGTTGTCCTGAACTCATCCTGCTCTTTAACTGAATTTGAAAATTACTTTGAAAGGGATTTTCAGTATTGAGTTGTTGTTAAAACACTTTCCAGGGCCTGGGGTTATATAGCTCAGTTGGTAGAATGCTTGCACTGGGTTCAATCCTCAAAACAAAACAAAACAAAAAAAAACACAAACAAAAAACCCACTTTCCAGTGAAGAAAGAGAATTTGAAAAATTAAATCATAAAAAACAGAAAAATTTTCCTTGTTACTGTATGACTCAAAATTTAGAACGTATTTTTAGATCCAGTTGAAAAAAGCAAGTGATCTCAGAACAGGGAACGATGCATTGTGCAGTGTACATGATACAATTTTGCTAAAATTTGCTTTCACTGAATGTTTTGCTTTTGTTTTGATMTGCTCCATTTTGATTTTGCCGTAACTTCTATTTAAATCATAATTTTAAAATATTTGATATCCCTAAAGGTAAGTAAAAATACCCTTTCAGACATGATACACATGTAAAATGTTACTCAAAATAGTTTCAATATAATTTATTTTTGTGTAGCTTTCACAGTGAGTCTTGGTTTGATTTTTTCCATTACATTTGTGATATTGTCTTCTGATGTATAGCTCCACAACTATAGTAAATACCTCATTTTCTTGTTGTGTGTAGAGAAGATGTCAGCAAACCTTTTTCATAAATATTTTAGGATTTTGGGGCTATGTGGTCTCTGTCATAACTACTCAACCATCTGTTTTAACATTCCACTTGACTGTGTCCCAGTAAAATTTTATTTACAAAAACAAGTGACGGGTTGTAAATGCTAACTCTTGGTCTAGAGTTTAAAATCACATTAATTTTTAGTTTACTCTTGATGGAGGAAAGAGAGTAAAAACAAACTAATGAAAAGTTTACTTAGTGCCAAGATAATGAAGCATATTAAAATAATCTATATGTGAATTATTTATATTGTTAATCTCTAGGAGATTGAGAAATTTGGAGTGATTGTCAGTAAACTGAATATTGACCTGTTAGAAGACTTAATTATATGGAAGCTTTAGAAGTAGGTTTAAAATGGACCTTCTAGTGTCCTGAGCTGGTGAAATTGTTCTCTTCATAATATACTTTTCTGTACAATAAMGGGGTTGATGAAATGCTATTATATATCATAGGATTTTAATTGTAATAACTTTTATTGGTCTAAAATTTTTTAACATCATCCTTATAGGTTTCTCTGAATCCATGAACAAACTTTGTATGTTTTAAGATATCTTTAATAATTCAGAAGTTAACTCCATATTTGATATCTGCCATTTTGTGAATCCCACTGCAGTTGTAATTTCTTCTTTTATTAGGCGGGTAAACACCAAGAATATGAACAGAAACTACTTCAAGAATTATATAAATTAAATCCCAATTTTCTTCAATTATCTACGGGTTCAGTTGATAAAAATAAGAACAAAGTGACACCACTGCAGAGGTATGATACGTAAGTACTGATATTAACATAGTTAGACATCTTATCCTCATATCTGTCAATCTTCTCTTCATTATACATCTTTTTAAGGCAAAACCTTTGACAACGTCTGTCATTTATGCACTATTATTTAGCTGTATGAGAACTATTGAATCACAATTTCTGGGCTCAAAATATTTTTTTGCTACTGCTTCCTGGTAGCATTTCAGATAAGCCCCTTGATGATTAGACTCATCTCAGTCCAGGGAACACCTTTCTTATTCCAGGGGAAATTAAGGGGCGTTGGGTATGATAACACTCTTCTCATCTAATTGAAATTTCTCCCTGATACAATGAGGGAGAAAAATATTGTAAAAGGGAGCGTGGGAGTTTTGGGAAGGATTATGTGTTGGGGGGGACACATATTCATGGATATTTAATCCCAGGAATCACTGAAATCTTGTATCCTGTGAGCGAGGGTACTCATTTGGGGAGACAAATTGTCTTCTATCCTACATGCCCAACATGGTTTGGGGTGGGTGATATTGTGTCAGTGTTTAAACCAATGTATGTAGTCTTCAGTATTGAGTCTCATTCTGATATGTAATCTTCATCTCTTGGATTATATCTGGTTTTGACCTGTCAGAAAATCATTGTTAAATAGTGATTGGAGATTTTTACCCTATTTCTGGATGTTCTTAAGCTTTATGTGTTAGGATCTTTGTTCTATTTTTTTATACCACAGCAAATTTAAATGATAGTTTTAAATTTAAGTTTTAAGGTTTGGATATTCAGTGTCTATTTAGTTTTTAAAAAGGTCAGAGTCATTTTTTTCCTGCTGGTACTGGGGATTGAACCCAGGGGCACTTAGCCACTGAGTTATATCCCCAGCTGTTTAAAAAATTTTTAGACAGGGTCTCAAAGTTGCCCAGATAGGCCTTGAACTTTCAATCCTCTTGCATCAAGAGGCAAATAGCTAGGGTTTACTCCCACATAGCTAGGATTACAGATGTGTACCACTGTGCGGGGCTGAAAGAGCTATTTTCAGATGTAACCAGTAATAACTGCATGGATTGTTGTTAGAATCCATTTCTTCACAAAGATATGTATAAGTTGTTTAAATTTTGAAGTCCCTATTTATTAAGTTTGATAGTGGAGATTATTTAAATATTAAAGACTATTTAAATACTTATTACTTAAACACGTGTGTGTGTATATTTATATTTATACATACTTCCAAGCAAAACAAAGTTGCTGTATAATAAACTGCTTGAGATTTGCTTATATAAAAGCTAGGAATAAAAGCTATGTCCAAACAGAAATCTTCCTGGGTTAACATAACAAACCTTAACCCTTTGATCATTTGTACCCACCCTTTTCCAACCCTGTGTGTTCATGATGAACCGTGTACTCTTTCTTATGTTATTGGTTGCTGCTTTTATAGTTCTTGGTATAAGAATGAGTCTATTGTAGCAAACATTTATTTCAGATGCATTCAGTATTTATATGCATCATCGTTCTCATTAAAAATGTTGTTATTCTAGTTAAAGTCATATTCTGGGTTTATAGCCCTTAGAGACTTCAGAGTATTACTTGAAAATTTAGATTATCTCTTTGATATAACATTTGCTATTTTCTGAATATAAAAGTAATATTTTTATTGAAGGAAATGTGAAAAATTTATGAAAGTATACCGAAGAAAATAAGTATTGTATGTGGTCCCAGTCCTCAAGGGTTCTCACTGAAAATAATTTTTGTATTTTCCTTGTAGTATGTATTTCCTTGTGGTCTTTTTCTCCCTATGAATGTATATATACCATTATACACAAAATAACTGATTTGTTACATCTGAAAACTCAGTACGCATTATTATAAATATTTCCCCATGTCTTGAAAACATATTTTTTTCTGGCTGCATGATACTTCATTTGGTATAAATATTTGAAATGTATTAAGTCAACCTCCTGTGTTTCTGTGTTATGTTACTTTCACTTTGGTGATATTATTTATAACACTGTACTGAACATCTTTTCATGTAAATGTTTTAGTTACAGTTTTGATTGTTCTAAAAAGTAGAACTACTGATCACAGAATCCAAGAGTATACCTATTTCCTTGAGTTTGGTTTTTTCCTTCAACATATTTATCAATTTGATAAACAACTAAAAAGATTAATTTGTATTATCTGTATTAAAATTCATTTTAATTTGTATTTGATGAATAGAGTAAAACTTTTTATACATTGTGAATTTGTTTCTCATGTTTTATTTGTGTATTTGTTTTTATGTGAATTACAGGGATGTGACTTTTTTCAATTAGTTGATTTGTGTTTCAGAATGAATTAAATTTATAATTTGAGAATTTATATTCTGCAACATTGATTACTTCCAACCATTATCATGGCATATCTCAAATCTCTTAGCTGAGCACTGAGATGCACACCTGTAATCCCAGTGACTCAGGAGGTTGAGGCAGGAGGATCACAAGTTAAGGCCAGCCTTAGCAGTTTGGTGAGGCCCTTATTTTGAGAATCTGTCTCAAAATAATAAAATTAAAAGGACTAGGATGTAGCTCAGTGATAAAGTACCTCTGGGTTTAATCCCCATTATCAAAATCATCATCATCTTATTTTTGTTTTGTTTTTTTTGGGGGGGGGTTGCTTCTCAGGAAACATTTTTTTAAAAAATCTCTTCCTGATTTATCATTTTGGATCTTCCACGTCTTCTAACTGTTGGAAGATTCTTAAACAAAAATTGGAGAACAGTGTTAGCCTATGGAGCTAGCAGGCATTCTTGTCTCATTTTTACTTTTAAGGGGATATTTCTAGTGTTTTATTTGCTCTTGCACGATTTTGATAATTTGAAATAGTTTTTAATTGCAATATTAAAGTACATTGATATTCCTAATTTATTGAGTTTTTTTTCATTAGGTTGGAATGAATATTGGGGTTATCAAAAGATCTTTTTGGCATTCATGTACTTATTTTTTCATCATTCAGAAGTTTTTAATAAACAACTTTATTGTAAAAACTTTTTTTGAAAATGTAACTTTGTAAAACATTGAAAAAATCTACTTTAACAAAGATATGCTCTTTTTTGGCATTTATAACAAGTAGTTAGCTTTTACATATTTTTGTGATGAATTATTAATTTACTTATGTTTTATCGACTTTGCCTTCAATGTGAGGTATAGTTAGGTGATACACAGAGTACATTCATAATTGTTTTGGTAATAAGAGATGACTTTGGTAACAGGAGCCAAAGTTGCAGGGGGTGGAGAGATAAAGAGGAAATTTTTTTTGGGGGGGGTTATGGGGAGTACTGAGGATTGAATCCAGTGTTTCACCCATGCTAGGCAAGGGCTGTACCTCTGAGCTATATCCTTAGCCTGAAAAGGGGGAAGTTTAACACAAATGAACTCATTTAATATAACTTCCCCAAACCAGGACTGCTGGAACCAGAATAAATTATGACATAGGTATTTTTGCTTTGYGCATAGTTTATGATAAGGAAGTTTTTTCTGTTGTTTTTTGTTTTCTTTCTTTCTTTTTTGGGGGGATGTGTGTGTGTGTGTGGGGGGGGGGGGATTGAACTTGGTGTACCACTGAGCTATATATCCCCAGCCCTTTTTGAACTTTTTATRTTGAGGCAGTGTCTCACTAAGTTGCCGAGGCCTCAAAATTGAGTATCCTTCTACCTATTCCTCTCAAATAGCTGGGGTTACATGTCCAGCAGGTAGGCCCAGCAGGAAGGGTTTTTGTTTGGTTAGTTTTTGTTTTCATGTACTTATCCAAAACTTATTAAGTCACATTTGATGGCAAGGTCTAATAGCTTGCTTTCTTGCATGACAATCCCTGAAAGAGTAAGCCTTTAGCTGTATATCCAGGGACCATGTCATACTGAGGGTCTGCTTTGCTTTGGTCTCCTCTTGCATCTTATTGCCATCCAGAGTAAGTGTAAAAAACCAGTAGGTGGTAGGGATGAATTCATAGATAAGGTTTCTTCTTTGCATGGGGAAGACTTCCCAAGTTAGAGTGATGCATATTGTAATTCTTGCTTTGGTCCTACCCAAGAGGTAGGATTCCCCCCCATCCTTTAAGGTAARTTGAGAATTAAACTTTCTGGGAATAAAGAAATTCAAACAATTCTATTTTCTCATTTTTCAGTATTCCTAGATAGCAAGTAGCAGTTTTCTAAGAATTTCAGAAAAACAAAGCCTGTGACTTCATAGATTGAGACACTAAACTTAAAATGTAATTTTAATTAAGCCAGAATACAAATCTTACAAATACTTGTACCATAGCTACTAATCTTCACTGTACCCTGACATGGTCCCTGGATATACATATATTAGTTTGTGAATTTCTCTGTAATATTTTACTTCTATCTCATTTAATGAGCAAAACATTTTTTAAAAAGAAATTTAAAAAAACTTTTTTTAGAGTGGAAAGTAAAAAGCTTTATTAAAGGATAATGGAAAAGTCTTCCCCCCCCAGGAAGGAGAGGACCCAAAAGGCAGAATCCCCTTCCCTCCATTATTATGAATTTGAGAGCATATCAGTTTGATTGAATTTTGAGATATTGAATACACTATTTTTCTATGTTACTAAATTGCTTTGAAATGATGACTAGTTGAGTGTGGTGGTACATGCCTGTAATCTCAGCAGCTCAGGAGGCTGATGCAGGAGGATTGCAAGTTCAAAGCCAACCTCAACAAATTAGTGAGGCCCTAAGCAACTTAGCGAGAGCCTGTCTCAAAATAAAAAAGGGATAGGGATGTGGCTTAGTGGTTAAGCACCCCTGGGTTCAATCCTGGTACCAAGGGGGAGAAAAAAGAAAAGAAGTGATGACTGTAAGTGATGAGGATGGGCAAAAGAGGAATTTGTGCAGTAGTGATGTGGGAGGACTAAATATTTTATTTTGAAGCTTGGGCTTTGAAATACCTTTAGATTGAGGCACTGCAAAAGGAATAATAGTAAATATTAGCTAGGTGAGCTGTTGTGCCCACACTAGTGAGCAAGTCTAGTTGTCAGAC